GTAAACACCATGGCAATTCATATGCAATAGACATGGCAACTTTTAACCCAAAAAAAAGTCATCGAAACATATTGATATGAGATCTAGTTTCAAAGATCTCGTCACGATGGATTTAATGATGAAAAAGGATCTTCAATCGGATTTTTCATTTAAGAGATAAAACATTTTAAAAACTGAAAATCCAAAAAGATATCAACATGTATACATGCAGTGACATGGCACAATCTGTGTATTATAGAGCGTGTGGGCGAGCGTTGCTCTGAAACACTAACGCCCACACATGTGGGCGTTTGCATCTCGCCCACACGCGTGGATCCGCGTCCATTTGTGGGTGCACCAATCTTGGCATGTTTGTGGTGCCACGTAGGATTAGACTAGTGTGTGGGCATTCACCCAATCGCCCACACGTCCGTTTTACCACACGGAGGGGCCGGCGTGTGGGCATTTAGCAGTTCGCCGACATGCCAAATTTCACTCACGCACAAGGGCTGATGTGTGGGCATTTGCCATCTCGCCCACACGCCCGTCTCGTCTCCCACACCCAAGCTGCCAATTGCCATGTGTTTTGCAGTGTACATGGCAAATTGTCTTAGTGTGCTTGTAAACAGATGGCAACTCTCTCTTTTTTTACCCAAACATGTCAGTTGCCATGTGTTTTGCAGGGTACACGGCAACTGCCTTAGTGTGCCTATAAGCAGATGGCAACTCTCTCTTTTACCCGAACATGTCAGTTGCCATGTGTTTTTGCAGGGTACACGGCAACTGCCCTAGTGTGCTTGTAAGCAGATGGCAACTCTCCCGAACATGTCAGTTGCCATATGTTTTGCAGGATACAGGGCAATTGCCCTAATGTGCTTGTAAGCAGATGGCAACTCTCTCGAACATGTCAGTTGCCATGTGTTTTGCAGGGTACAGGGCAACTGCCCTGGTGTGCTTGTAAGCAGATGGCAACTCTCTCTTTTACCCGAACATGTCAGTTGCCATGTGTTTTGCAGGGTACACGACAACTGCCTAGTGTTAGTAGGTGGCAACTCCTAAAGTTTTCAAATCATGACAACTATAGTAAACTAGACTATACATGGCAACAGCTGCAGTTTGTCCAAAAATGGCATCCGACACTTGACTTGAGATGGCAACTGCAGTTGAGCAACCATGGCAACTGTAGTTCAGTGACATGGCAACTGCAGTTAAGCGAACATGGAAAAGTGTCTAAACCATGGCAACTGCGGGCGCGTGGTGACAGTCACGCTGGGGCATGCGGGACCATGAGATAGGAGGCCTGACGTACGGGCGTGTGGGCGTTATGCATTTCGACCATACATAGGCGTGTGAGAGGGACCGCAACAAAAAAAAAGAGGCGTGTGGGTGCTAGTTGTTTTGCCCACACGTAAATGTGTGGGCTGATCCTCTTGAACACCACACAAAACGTGTGGGTAGACCCCTTAACGCCCACACGTGTGGGCGTTATCGGCGTCCTTTTTTATAGTGAGAGTAATAACAACGGGTGTGCATCATAATGATGGCAGGGTTTCAACCTCTTTTTTGAAAAAGAAAAGTAAGTTTTGGTGGTAAATGTTGTCAGTGACGTACTTCAACGGTGATGAGAGAAAGTCCAGTCTCTACTAATCAACTATCGCATCTGAAACCTGGAGCGAGAGAGGCCAGCACGCTAAGCCTTCCCTACCACGAGCATGCGCGGATGAGAAGCAAAGAAGCGTATCGCCATCAGGCAGGGCCATCACGAAGCCATGCGACGCACATCACGAAGTCTAGAATCGCTCCATATCCCATCAGAATGAACGCCATGGGTCCTCAAGAATCGTCAGATTTGATGTGCCAAACGGTGAGTGCATAATCATGATACCAGGTGAAGCACGCACGGAGTAGATCCCCACCGAGAGAAGAAGCTCCAACGGAAGCAATCAGAGCCATTCATCGCGTTCCCCAACGAACCCATGATGCAATGCAACCAACTGGAGCACCAACCCAACGCACCCATGGGGAAGCACGAGTATATATTCACTCCCATTTCCCCACTTGAATCTCTTCCAACAATGAGTCCCAATAATGCAATGCAGGATATATTCAATCCGTATGGCTGTTGTGTATACTGCACTGCATCTGCATGGATATGCAGAGAGAGTAAACAGTTTACAGTGATATCAAAACGGATCGGAGTAGTCACCCAGTGAAAAAAGGTATGTAAGCAGAGGACCACACAAGAAGTATACACAACAGCCATACGGAACTTGTGGAGATTGGTGTGCCAAATGGCTGGATTTATTTTCTTGAGTATGATACTGCCAGGTTTCAAGAAAAACGAAGCGAGTCCAATAATTTGGCCTTGGGATCTAGTCGGCGTAGAAAACTGTGGACTTGGGATCACGGGTCCATGCTGCACCAACTGGTACTACTTAACTGAGAGTGCCCCGTGCATTACAAGCATAAATAATTGCGTCACTACCGAAAGGATATTTAAACTAAGATAAGCTCCGAGAAAATGTACTAAACACGCTTCAACAGGTCGCCACTAACTTTCTATCTACTAACAACGATCGAAACATAGAAAATGTACGCATGGATGTTACATGCAGCTCATCTTAATTTAAGGAAGCCCGATCTCATTCAGAGGTTCAAAACACAAGACAGCGACATACGTACAACTAACCTGATATGTGAGTCAGGGTTCAAAACCAATATCCATTCTCACACATTATAGCTCCATGTCTAACATCGGTAGCATCTCAACTAGCGCGGCGCATCATGCTAGAGCCATATGTCAATCTGGATTATAATCTACAATGTTTGTCTGGTTGAGTTGCCAAAGAGAGAACTCTGTAGCTCGACACAAAAATTCTATATAACTATGGCATGCATTCCGTGATACTGACCTTAATTTTGATGGGGAACGACAGATGATGCCCGATCTTAACACCTTAACGCACAATATTCATTTGTGCTATTCGGAGGGCTCCAGTTGGCCCTGTGCAATGCAGGAACCCGCAAATAAATGCTCTGCAACCAACAATAGTGTGGACTATGAGCAGTCTGATCCAACGTATCACTCCAGGTTGCTAGATGTCACTACAGCAGGTAATGATATCGATTACTGCTTCCATGCATCACCGCAACTCTTGCAGCACGGTAAGCCCTGAGTGTCAGTTCATTACTTCGCAGACATATCATCCATCCCCAATGCCTTCATTAGAAATGCATACTCGAAGGCTGTCTCCTCGCACCCCATGAAGCGTCCACCCTCACCAAAATGGCCACTCTGCATATTAGTTTTGAGCACAACAGACTTGGAACAGGATGGGCACGTGACATCTCTCACTTTTGAAACCCACTTAGCAGCTTCCCAGACTCCTACCCTGTCAAACAAAAAGGAAATTATGGCCATTCAAAAGAAAACCAACAGTACACAGCTGGAAACCTTGACTACAATGTTGTGAGCTGAAAATTTCACATGGAACAGGAACAAATTATCCAAACTGCAGTATCACAAGAGTACAATGAAGTTAGACAAAAACCTTGTATCATTAAAAGAGGCAGTCACCAGAATTGAGGGGTAACATTTGCCAGGAGATAAGTTGTCATAAGGAGAATAACTACGGATTGCGTCAAATTCAACTGGGATATTAGGGTCACCAAATTCTTCGTAGTCCAAGATGGTGAGAGGTAACGTAGGATCCAACATTGTATTGCAGATATCAAGAAAGGGGACCTATTTCGGTAGAAATACATGTCACTGATACTTGAAAGCCCAGAAACATCATTTACCAGTAGAAGCAAAGAGAAGGGAATAAGCACAGCAAATCCCAGATGATGATAATGATGTATCGATGGATGAGCTCAAAGATTTACCTTGAGAACTGCAGCAGAGAACAAATTTGGCAACATATTAACGACCGCCCCAACCAGCAAACCACCAGCACTGGAGCCCATAGCACAAAGACGACTTTCATGCACAAAACCTTCCTTGATAAGATGCATCCCACATGCCGCAAAATCTTGAATTGAATTTATCTTCTTGGCTTTGGTGCCTGCTAGATGCCCTGATGGATCCCCTCCACCCCTACATGATTAGGCTAGGGAATTACAAACAATCAGGAACATAAAATTTGCGGTGTCAATCATAAAATGCATTTCCTTCTAATCATAAATGAAAAGTCAAAAACAACTGTCTTATCATGTTTTAAAATTTTATTGTGGAGCATGCTAGAGAAACGGCAGATGGTATATCACACATTCACACCATATTGAAGTCGTCAGCTCAGCCAAACTCTATTTTTTTTTTTTTGCAGGGAAGCCAAACTCCATGTTGATAACCTCCAAATGGCGCTAGATGGAAAAAATGGTAGAACTTTGCGACTATTAAATGGCCACCTTTCAGAATTCTAGCAAATTACCCCTGTGACATGGAACAGTGAAATCAGGCGGTCCTTTCACAAGATCATGGATCAACGTCTCAATATGATAGCAGCCTAGGACCTAATGTCTCTTTCAGTTTCAGGTGAAAATAAAAATTAACGTTCTGTATACTATAAGATTTGGTGAATAAAGACATCGTGTTGCACACTTGTAGGAAGTCCAAGTATAGGGTGCAGATATGCTAGTGTGGTTCTTTAATAATCTAGTTCACCAAATGAAAATGCAGAGTTCCACATGCTGCAGTAAGTTGTAAGATGAGTTAGGAAATACTGAATGATGATGGGGAAGTGCAGTCCTGTAAGCTGAAAAAATGCCACAGGCATCAAACTGTACCTAACATCAGCAAATGCAAGAACCCAACCTCGAGCAAGCAGACTGAGCCTGTCAGAACACCAGCTTTTATCCAGATCTTCTCCATAAGCTCCATATCCATATAAAATCCCAGGCGATTCTCCATGAATATGAGCTTCCCGTGAATACAGGATCACTAAAGGTATCAAGACACCATCATGTGAAACAACTTGGACCCTCTCACAAGATAATAACTTGGAAAGATCACTCCAACTTTGTTAATCTTCAATAAGCTGCAGATTTTGTTGGATGCTTGAAACATTGGATTGTCCTACTGTGTATAGACTTGAACAAAGGCCAGTCACTTCCTCTTGATCAACGATAGTAAATGTCTTCTTTCTCATGTCATAATCCACAGTTAAGTCTGGAATCTACAATAAAGCAAATTAAACATTTACTGGGAAAACTTATCTCTAGCAACACAACAGATGCACTGTACAATAATGTTGCGCAATTAACATAATAAAACGCCAGATTAACATGATGAATATTTGGTTGAATTATATTCTTCTACATGATACACAGTTTAATTATACACTTCATGAAATTGTGCAGCATTATGTGAGTGGCAAGGAATAGAACTGGTCTGAGTGTGTAGAAAAGAATTTGCTGGGTGCTATTATATAAATCATAGAGTGAGATCCAGGGAATTGAGAAAAGAGCTGAAACCAATATCAACATAGAATATAAGGAAACGCCAATTGAGACAGATAAAAAATGAGAAACTTTGTTGAATGTTGTACCACTGGTGATGACACCACCAGACGAAAAGTAGATGACATGAAATCATTGTTGGGCCCAGGAAGAATGCTACATAAATTTGAAGGTATTGGGAAAAACCATGGAGCGAAATCACCAAATTCCTTTGGCTCCTGGGAGATAAACAAAAGTCATCAGCACAAATAATACAGGAGTTTTCAGAATCATGAGTAGCGACAATCTAGCCCATAATTTGAAAAGGTAGAGAGAATGACAATATCAGAGTACAGGTTATACATTGGAAGTGCAACAGATAAAGTGAAATTAAGACTGCCAATGCTTCAAGGTGGGTACTATTTGGTGATCTAAATAATTATGGTCCAAGACAAAGTGTGTATTACATCTCTAGGAATAATATGTCAAAACATACAAATAGTAATAGGTTAACATGACATGAGTCAAATATCATACCTGAAAGTCAATCTGGACTGGCAAATCGATGGAGCAAAACAGAGGAAGCCCGTCTTTTTGAAGAAAGAGAACTAAATGTTCGTGAAAAATATCCATATCCTGAAATGTGCAGTCCGGCCCAGGGAGTGCCACAACCTAGCAATAGAAATACAGGCAGCAACTTTGTAAAGTATGAAGTCTAATGGGAATAAATCTAATGCATATTCAGCAACGAAATGTGTTCAAGCCACCAAATGAAAAATCCATACTAGCAATGGATATGCTACTTATATACAGATGTCATCACCACTTGATATGGAAGAACTCAATGTCTGACGAAGATATTTTTGTCTTAACAAATATCACTCTGTTCACAAATATAAGATGTTCTAACCTTTTTCTGGTTCGAATGTATATAGACGCATTTTAGTGTGTTTCTTCACTCATTTCAGTCCATATGTAGTCCATATTGAAATATCAAAAACATATTATATCAAAAACATATTAAAACTCTGCCTAGAAATTTACTTTCTGAAGGAGGGAGAGACCTGCCATTTATCCATCAGTGATTTTTCAGCTCTACACCTGGCCAGGTAGTAGCCTTCAACTGCAGTTTCAGTATCTTTCAAGGGTGCATTAGTAAGAATATAGAAAAACCCATTATGATGCTCCAAAAAGTACTGCACTTTGTTGGTGCGTTTTTGTACAGGCCATAAGCCTTCTCTTACATTACCAGATTCCATCACATAAACCTGCAGCAACACAAGCACAAATCAGAAATAACAATCGAAAACAAGACATAAGTGGTAAACGTCGCAAAATGCATTTTGAATTGGGTATAAAGTTGAAATAGAAACCTTCCTCAGATGATGTCCTTGTGTTAGAATTCACAGTGATATATTTGAAATCTTTTGTGCTTGTGATATCCACGCAACAGTTTACATCATCCTCCATGAAAACTAAGAAACCGGCCTCATCTGACTGCATCTTTTTACAGAAAACCCTATAACATGAAAACATATCAAATACAGTAAGACTACAAGCTTCTTGAGCTTAAATTTATTCAAGGAAGGAGAATTACTGATTGGGACGTAGAGTCTCATCACAGACAGTATAAAATAAATTTTCACTGTCGTGAGTCCATGCTAAACTGACAATTCCCTTGTCTGGCAAACTAAAAATGACATGCTTAGACGGAAGATCTTTCACTTCCAGTGAAAACAGTTCACCCCCAGATGTATCGAGAGTATACGCAAGAAACCTATGATCAGGAGATATTCGACAACTCCCAATGTGAACATAACCTGCATAAGTTACAGAATGATCCACTGATAAGTTTTCAGGTGCGAGCAAATAAAATGTCCTCATCGCAAGAAATCAATGATAATAAGCAAATAAACAATGTCCAATTAACTGCAGTAAATATAATAGTCAAACTACATTAAACTATACAGTTGAAGCTCACATCAGTATATTATGTGTAAGTATGGAGACCACACCAGACTAATGTGGCAAAGAACGTACCAAATTTCTCTGCGATCTCATTCCAGTCAAGCAACACTTCTTCCTTCTCCCAGTCAGAAAGATAACTAAGGAAACGTCCTGCTAAACCACCAGAGGGCCTTAACTTTCTGGACAAAACTGGGTACTCCATTCCATTTGGCACGTACTGGTAATATGACCTGGATACACAAAAATGAGTTATGTAAGACACAAAGGCAATTGTTTTTTTTTTTGTGCAGCATCATTTACCTGGCAAAAAATATTTTCAGAAGTGCGTTCCCTCTTTCCATTAGCCCTTATTTCCCGAATAGGAGTGTAAGCTATGTTTCCAGTTAGAAGCATATATAATATGTCCAAGGAAATTAGATGAACAGTCATTCCACAACCGTGTCCTGACGTGGCAAATGAAATTTGACGGAACAGTTCGTTCCATCTGACAGAAGCAATAATTGAACACTAAAATCGTGCAAGAACAAACATGACCCTACATTAGAAGGATAAACTAGCTAACCTAAACCACAAATCTTATACTCAAGAGGCAACCGCAACAATGAACAAATGCATAACGTCCTAATCCTTCCCTGACAAACTACAACTCGGTTGGCTACACAAGTACAAACAAAAAATCAGTCATACAGCGGCAGTTACACGGAAAAACTAACACCATAAAACCATCACAAGTTCAAAGTTGACAGACCCTAGCGATACAGTTCCAAGCCATGCTGTACGGGATCAAACGAAATGGAGCAGTGCGAACCAAGGGCCCCAGGGCTGACGCGGGGAAACGGCGGAAGGGGGCAGCCGGGCGCGCATCTCGGCAGCGAGGCGCGCGCGGAGGCCGCCTCCGCCGGCCGAGGAGACGAAGGCGTCTGCGTAGGCGTTCTCGGCGGCGAGGAGGGCGGCGAGGTGGGGGTCGGAGGTGTCGCGCATCCAGTGGTAGGGGTCGCTCCACGACCTCCCGTGCGTCGACACGGTGAAGGGGACCTTCTTCGCCACAGGGAGCGGCGGGAGGGTGTCGGTGTTCGGGAGATGCGGCTGCGAGGGAAGGCGGGAGCGGCGGCGGCAGGTGGTGGAGAAGAGGCGGAGCAGGGCGGCGAGGGGGTGCCGCCGGTGGAGCATCACGCCGGTTCAGACGGTTTTGCAGTGCGGAAGCCTGGGCTTGGGGTTTTCCTAAGGTTCTAGTGGTTAGTTCTTTCGTTGGCTTTTTTGGGCTAGCCTTTTTACAAGCCCAAACAAAATACAATTTCTAATCTAGGCTTTTAAAAAGTCCTGAAGCGTTTTTTTCCGGAAGCAAAGTTCCTGGCGATTAGGTTTAGCGCGTCGCCGCCGCCGGCGGCGGCCGCTAATCCTGTGGGCCGTGGCCTTCTCGTGAGGCTAGCTTGATGTACTGACGAGGTACTCCCTTCTCAGTTTTCTGTACCCTAGCAGAGGAAGCTAGGGTTTGATGTCCTCCGGCGGCTTCACTGACCGTGAGTCCTCTTTGTTAATCACCGTTGTAAAGTGGAGATCTGTTGTCCTCCGGCGGCTGCGTCGACCGAGAGTTTCTTCGTTGTCGAATACCGGGTGTACGGTCTCCTCGTCGCAGGCAGACCGGTCGTCATGAAAGTCTTGAGTTGAAATTGTCGCGGGCTTGGGAACGCCGCGGCAGTTCGAGCTCTACTGGATGTCCAGCGAGCATGCAACCCTGAGGTGATGTTTTTGTGAGACACATCTTGAAAGTTATCCATGGGAGTGTTTGAGGAAGAGATTGCACATGGACCAAAAGTTTGTGTGCCCTGGAGACGGTAGAAAGGGAGGACTGATCTTGTTTTGGAAAAAGGAAATCAAAGTGCAGCGTCTGAACCTAGACCCGATGTATATAGATGTGACAGTGGAAGACTCAAATAGCTTGGTGTGGAGACTTACGGGCATGTATGGTGAATTTAGATGGGAAAACAAGTACAAAACCTGGGATCGCATGCGCCATCTCCATCATGCTCACAATCTTCCCTGGTTGCTGATTGGGGACTTAAACGAAATTCAGTTTCTACACGAAAAAGAGGGTGAAAATCCACGCCCACAACAGTATATGCATGCATTTCAAAATGCTATTGATGATTGTGAGCTAAGGGATATGGGTTTTTGGGGTGATAAATTCACATGGCATCGAAGACGGATCCGAGAACGACTAGACAGGGGTTTGGTGAATGAAGCATGGGCGAATCTTTTCCCCATGGCAGCTTTGGAAAACTTACAGTACAACCACTCGGATCATAGACCATTGTTGGTCAACACTGAACACTATACTGTGCCCATTCATGACTATGCAAGACCATTGAGATTTGAGTCGAGGTGGTTGCGAGAAGCAAAGTTCAATGATACTGTAATGGACGCTTGGCAGAAAGTAGGATCGGACCCTACAACCAATTCGGTTTATGAGAAGTTAAATCGCATGCATGCGATGTTCCATGATTGGGACCAGAGGGTTTTGAAGAAACCTAAACAATGCCTCTGTAAGGCACAGCGTGATCTTGAGAGGGTGATGAGAGGCCCAATTAATGACGGCAGTGAAGAAGCGCGCAAAGAGCTTTCAGAGCTGATTGAATACCTACTAGAACTTGAAGAAATTTCATATGATGCAAATGTCACGAATTTCGTGGCTGAAAAATGGTGATAGAAATACGGGCTTCTTTCAAGTCTATGCTTCGGCAAGGAGAAAAAGAAATTTTATCAAAAAGTTGAAAGACTCGGATGGAAATTGGATGGAAGGTACAACGAAACTAAACCCACATATTCAGAGTTACTTCTCCAACCTTTTTACGTCGGAGGTACAGTACACCGATCCATCTATTCTTTCTAAGGTCAATTCCAAAGTTACAGCTCGAATGAACAACATGTTATTAGCTCCATATACTCCGGATGATGTTCGTAAAGCTGTTTTTAGCATCGGTGATCTTAAGGCACCAGGGCCTGATGCCCTCCATGTAGTCTTTTTCAAAAATACTGGCATATATTAGGGGAGGAAATAACCCAAGAAGTTCTTATTGCAATTAATTCAAGGCAGATCCCAGCTGAATGGAATGATACAACGATTGTTTTGATTCCTAAAGTTGACTCTCCAGAGATGGTAACTCAGTTCAGACCCATTAGCCTTTGCAATGTTTTGTACAAGATTATATCAAAGATGCTTGCTGCTCGGTTAAAAACAATTCTTCCTGATATTATTTCTCCAACCCAAAGTGCCTTTGTTCCTGGGAGGCTCATTACCGATAACATTCTCATCGCTTATGAATGTATTCATAAAATAAAAAATAAAAGAGTGGGCCAATCAGGTCTATGTGCAGTCAAGTTGGATATGCATAAAGCATATGGTCGAGTAGAATGGGTGTTTCTGAGGAATATGATGTTGAAGCTGGGATTTCATGAAAGTTTTGTGGAAATGATGATGGCTTGTGTTGGATCCGTAAGATACGAAGTAAGGTACAATTCACAAGAAACTGAGATATTCATACCTACTAGAGGAATTAGGCAGGGAGACCCCCTTTCTCCCTATCTATTTCTCCTTTGTGCAGAAGGTCTTTCTAGTCTATTGCAGTATGAAGAAGAAGCTGGTGGCATTGGGGGAATTAAAGTGTGCATGAATGCACCGTCAGTCTCACACCTTTTATTTGCTGACGATTCTTTGATTCTCATGAGCACGGATGTTTTAAATGCAGCTTCCTTACAGCAAGTGCTAGATACCTATTGCCAAAATTCTGGATAATTGGTAAGTTTGGCAAAGTCTAGTGTTTTTTTCAGTCCTAATACCAGTGCAGTTTCAAGATCTGAAGTTTGCCAATAATTACATATTGGTACTGAGGCATTATCTGATAAGTACCTAGGCCTTCCGGCTATGGTAGGAGCTGATCGTAGTGACTGTTTCAAGCACTTCATTGAAAGGATTAAACAAAGAATCCAAGGATGGATGGAAAAACAATTATCAATTGGGGGTAAAGAAATTCTTCTTAAAGTTGTGGCACAAGCTATTCATGTTTTTGCTATGTCTGATTTTGTCTACCAAAAGGTATTTGCAAGGAAATCGCAGATATTATTGCTAGTTTCTGGTGGGGAGATGATGATGAAAATAAGAAAATGCATTGGTATTGTTGGTGGAAATTATGTTACCCAAAGAGTGAAGGTGGTATGGGCTTTAGAGATCTATACTCGTTTAATTTGGCATTTCTAGCTAAGCAATGTTGGAGACTTATTACTTCACGTGAGTCACTTTGTGCACGAGTTCTTAAGGCAAAATACTTTCCAAATGAAGGCCTCTTACCAGCACCTCTAAAAAATGGAGCTTCGTTCACTTGGCAAAGCATTATGAAAGGTCTTGAAGTGTTCAAAAAAGGCTATATTTGGAGAGTGGGCAATAACATATGGTCAGATCCATGGATTCCTTCTAGTCCCAACAGAATGATCATCACGCCCAGAGGTCAAACAGTCGTATCGGTGGTGAGTGACTTGATTGATCCTCACACAGGACTTTGGGAAGAGCAACTCATGAATATGATTTTTAATCCCGTCAATGCTCGAAGGATTCTGCAAATCCCCTTAAGTCTTCATGCATTTGACGATTTCATCGCATGGCACCCCGATAAAAAAGGGATGTTCTCCGTTCGAACAGCTTATAGAATCCAATGGTTACATAAATTTTGGGCGCATGCAAATGACATCAGTCGACCGGGAGGTTCTGCTACTCCAGCGGTATGGAGTACATTATGGAAGCTACAAATTCCACGTAAAGTTTCAATATTTTGCTGGCGTTTACTACACGGAATTCTGCCCCTAAAAGGTATACTCGCTAATAGACACGTTGGGGCAATTGGAGGGTGCCCAATTTGCCACAAGAGCTCTGAAGATATTCGTCATCTATTCTTCATGTGTATTCATTCAAGAGGTATGTGGAGCCGACTTGGATTGACAGATTTCATCAACGCCGCAACAAATGTTGATAGATCTGGGTCGGTTATTATGGAGTATATCTTTTCTATTGATCAAACGCCACTACCTCTAATGCCGACATTGGAGATTGAACAGGTCGTAGTGGTGGGATGTTGGTACCTCTGGTGGACACGCCGCCTTATAACACATAATGAGAGTTGCCCGCCGATGGTAAGATGGCCTTTGTCGGTCTTGGCAATTACAAGCAACTATCAACGAGCCATGGCGAAGATAGTTGTGACAGAAGAGGAAAGATGGTTGAAGCCAGACCCAAAGTTCATCAAACTTAATGTGGACGCGACCTTTTTGCGGAGCAAGGAGTTGGAGCTATGGCAACAATTATTAGAGATGAACGAGGTATTTTCCTTGCAGCTCAATGTAAGTTTATCCCATATGCAGCGGATGCAATGACATCAGAGGCAATGGCGATGAGAGACGGACTGAACTTGGCAAATATCCTAGGGTTCTAGCGAGTTGAAGCGGAATCCGACTCTCTAACGGTAATCAACTGCTGCTCCGGTCAGAGTACTTGGTGGGACGCGGTGGCAGCGATATTCGCGGAATGTGTGGACATCTCTACCTTGATTGGGAAGGTCAACTTTAAGCATTGTTTTCAATCAGCAAATCAAGCGGCGCATGTGCTAGCTAATTTTAGTTATTGTAATAAACTTTCTTCTAGTTGGACTGACGAGCCTCTAGATTGTCTAGTGAGCAAGCTCGTAGACGATGTGTCTTTATGCATTAATCAATAAATCTAGCCATGATGGCCTTCCCTCAAAAAAAAAGAATAAGCTGGGTAGGGAAACTTATTCTTAGAAGCCAGCGAAAGAACTGACCCTAATGGTTTTTATCAAGAAAATTACATATTTTTGGTTCTTGAACTGCTCGCGTGTAGCACAAACATCCCAAAACTTGCAAAATGTTTAAATACGGTTATGAAATACACAAATATATGCAATACTAGCAAAAGAGCTTGTATTTGTGTGTTACAACGGAAGAAAAAAAATACCACACTCCCTTAACACAATAATCTTTTTTATGAATACACAAATATATGCAATACTAGCAAAAGAGCTTGTGCGTTACAATGGGAGAAAAAAATATCACTCCCCTAACCGAATAATCATGACTTAAGACCCCCAGTAGGTGCACGTACTTTA